AGACAGGAAAGAGGGTTTACAACGCAATGAGTTGTGGGACAGAAGCGGCAGCTACTGGAGCCCTAGCCAGGTTTCATGCAGAAAAAAAAGAGCACGGAAACCTGCAGAGACTGGCTGAATGTCACACTACGCCGTTTTGGAATGCACAGCTGAGTGTTCATTTTCCCTGTCTTCTAAATACTTAAACAGTTACGTTACTTCCACATTCTTCTTCAAGGCAATGAAACATAGCACAAACAGCAAATTTATTTGCCAGGTAATTTCAGCAGCTCCATTCTTGATCTCATTAAACATAGCACATGCTATCAGTCCAAGCTACTGCTTTTTCATAAAAGAATAATAAAAAAAAGGAGCTGACATAGTAAGGTATATAAAGCACACTGTATCACTCCAGAAAAGATTATTGCCTTTCTCTAATAAGTAAGGCGCATCACACCCAAAAGAAGATTGTACACAACGTTCTCTGAAGAACTAGTCTGATAAAACACGCACACCAATTTTGAGGCTTCCAGTAAAAGTCAGACTTCATTAAAACTCCAGGTAACAGCAAAAACCTAGCAGAAGACACTAAGCGCAGCACTAAGAATTCTCTTTCACCTTCCATCCCTGGAAACATTCCAGGTCAGGCTGGACAGGGCTCTGAGCAACCCGATTTAGTTGAAGATGTCTCTGCTCATTGCAGGGGACTTGGACTAGATGACCTTTAAAGGTCCCTTCCAACCCAAACTATTCTAGGATTCTATCATTCTACCAGTTCCAAAAGAGATTTCAAATAAAGAATGCTTAATAAATGGACTAAGTAACAGCAATTTATACCATATAATAATTTAATTGATGGGAAATTGTAGAGCTGTCCACTTTTCTTTTAAAGTATCTTTTACAGAAAAGTTTGCTGCTTACATCTGAAGATCCTCTATTGTCAAAGAGGTTCAGCATGAGCTAAACAACTTTCCCCTACTGCATCGATACAGTAAAAGTTTAAAACTGAGTAAACATCCTAATAGGAAAAAAAAAAGGAAGTTTTTCTGTATCTATAGCTACATTTGCAATTTGTTAATAGCTGTTGGGAGAGTTGGCATTTGAATTCTTCCTCAAGAATTAGAAGGAAACATTTAATTTCACCTTTGTTTATGCAAAATACAAATACAGTTTCCAGTAAATCCAATCTGAATTTAACTAGTAACCTGTGCAGTAAAGGTACAATACCTGCCATTAGGCAAAAAGAGCCACATCATTTCATTTCACAAGGACTATGCCAGCGTGGCTACCAATATGATGCATTAAACATGAAGTAGATTAGAAATTAAGCTAGAAAGAGCAAACATGTTCAAACTCTAAAAAGAGGTAATTTAAAATCATTTTAAGTATGAACGCTGTTCAAACACACTTTGTGCTGCTATTGTTAACTTAAAACACTAAAACATTTTGTGACATTTTAAAATTAAATTGAAAAAGCAGTAGTTTTTATTCTAACAGTTAAACTTTCTTTCCCAGGAAAAATTGTGTATTTAAGCCAGTAGTAATAGTGTGCTAAATTCTTACTTTTAGGCAGTAACACAGTAATTATGGTAAAAAAGTGCCGTGAAACTTGTCATTGCTTGAGTACAAATGCCCAAGGCAATGCTAAACTAACACAGCTTCATTCTGATCTGGTTTTCTTAAACTGTGAATTATACTCTTACATATTTTAATACATGTTGGAACAAAGCCATTCAACTCTGCAACTTTGCATTCTTCCTTGAGCAGATGATGAGACAAACATATGAGCCTCGGGACAGGGTGTATAAATGAATCACAAAAGGTGTATGCTTAATTAAAGAGCACTGCTGTCACTTTTTCCAGATAAAATTCATGTAGCCTTCATTTGAGTCAAGTATGAATCAGGGTCCCTACGCCAATGTAAGGAAACACACGGTGTTTAACACAGAGCAGCTGAAAGAGCCATATCAAACTGCTTTTGAGGAGGTCTCTCATTTGAGCTGACTTGTGACAAGCACACCATGAGAAGAGGCCAAGGAAACAAATGATTCTTAAAAGATTAAGCTTTACAATCTGCATATGCCAATGTCTTACTTGTTTATGTTGCTGCCTTCCTTCAGACGTTCTCCTGCAGCTCCCGTTTTGGACACTCTCTCGCTCCCAGCCAAATCCACCAGGCTGACCTTGCTGACTTTCTCTCCAGAATTCTGCACAGATGGTACATGGGAGAAGAGCAGCTAAGAAACGCCAGCACAAAGTGCTAACATGTCTGACACTGGCATCAGGAAACACTGTTCTTCATAATAATGTGGTTAAAATATCAAATTCAAGATATGAGAGAAGGAATTTGCAAGAGTTTTTATAGCTCTTTAAGAGTCACTCATATATCTTCTAGTAAAGCGCTGAAGCACTAATGAACCAGAATCAACTGTGTGGTAACATCAATAACCTTACTGGCAGAGTAGGTCATTAAAATACATCAACTTCAGCAACAGTTAAGACCTAAGACAGGTTTCATGGTGGCAATACAATCTTAAAAAGTGATCCAACCGTTTGCTTTATCTGGTGTTCTTCCCCACTCTTCCAGGGTTCCCTCAATCTTACAGTCTTGCCAATATTACTTTGATTACTGGCCCCCATGGCATTGAAGGTAGAAGCACAGCTAAACAGATAATGTATGTGGAAAAGGAGGGAAGAAGAATTCACCACAACTTCATAAATTAATCAACAGAAATACATACACCAGAATGCAGGTCATAAAGTGTCTGAGTCACTATAATATTGAACACAGCATGAGAGCGGCTGCTTTCTTCATTCATGTTGGTTGCAGCAACTGTCCGTGATTTGTTTCCCTCTGACATCAGTGACTCAATATCCTAGAGCAAAAAGAGTGAAAAAATGATGCTAGGATAAAAGCAAGCATTGTGCTTGCTGAACAAAATCCCCATCTAGATGGAAGGGTGTGTACATGTGGGAGAGAGGAAGAAGGGAAGGTAGAAGTAATGAGAAAATTCTTTGCACATTTTGAGATATATTGGCACAGAGAGTATATAGTTCCACAGAGCGACGTTAAAGCACATCTCTGTTCTGTTGTACTTAAAAGCCCAGCAACTACATTCAATGCACCTTCTCCTTATCTGCTGCTGAAATAAGGTGGCAATATCCACATTAAAAATCATATTGTTTAATGCCCGTAATCAGGCCAGCACAGATCTACTTACACAAGTGAACACAATGCGTCTCTTCACTGAACTGCACTCATACTATCTTCACTTAATTGGCTCAAAGGGTTACCTCACCTGGAGATAGTTCATACTTAGTTTTTGGCTGACTTTAATGAAACTATTTTGGAAGACTCAGCAAGCACACATATCAGAGTCGGCATAGTCATCTTTGTTTTCACATATGTGGGAAGGTACAAAGTTTCCTAGAACTTCACCAAAGGTGGTGTGCTTTCAAAGTACGCAATTCACCATAAAAGCTGTAAAATCACTTTTTACAACTCTGTAATGTGCACAGATGCTTCAGAAAACTAAAAGACCCACAAAAAGGAAACATAGTTCTCATTTAATGCTACACAAAGAATGAACATTTTTTTTAAAAAAACAACATTTCCAAATCAGCTTCGTCATAAGAAGAAAGGCCTACGCAATTCATACAACTGCACTGCTTTAATTGTTTCCATTACAGCTATAGTAGTTCATTGGCTTCTACAATCCTCATTTATTTGAACACGTTTTGGTAACTCAAGTGCTCAGATGCTGTCATTATTTAAGTTATGAATTATATAAGCCACGTTGTAGCTCCTCATGCAATATACCTGTATAAAATAAGAGGTCATATTTAACAACAAAATCAAAGGAATTCATGCTGGAAAACTAATATTCTTATTTTGGAGGTCTCATATTTCCTGTGTCAAGGAAACATTGTGTTCTTGGTGTATACTATATGCATTGAAAACTGCAAAATAAAGAGATAGCGCTATTATATTTTTAACTAACATAAAGACAAATCCAATGCTTTTACATGAAATAACTACTCCTGAAGCATTAGAGATCTTTGAGATTGCCAGAGACCACAAACACTCAAGAACCAAAATGTCTGGACAGACACTAGTTTATCTCTTATAAGATTCCTATTGCTTATGTACATAGGTGTTATCCATAAACTTGTCGTTGGTTTAGATTTACCTCAAAGTTTGTAACAGCCAGCTGAGACAGGCCATCTACATACGGTCCCAACACTTTGTGCTCTCGAACCTTAAGGGACTGACGACTCCTACGGAATAAAGTAGACTTTATGCATAATCTTCTAGTGTGAACTTTATTGAAAAACGAAAATTATAGTATGAAATGCTAAGAATCTTCTATATAGCAGAAGTCAATTTATGTCTTTTAATTGTAACAGGAGGAAACAAGTCTTCCAGAATTGTTTTAAACTCAAATTAACAATAAAGACTCAAATTAATCTAACCAGTTTTAATCTATATACATGAATTATTTCTAACGCACCCTCTCACCCCAGTATTTGTGACTGGAACAAAATCTGAAATGCTTTATTTGGCAGAAAGAATGATGACAAAAAAGGAAAGCAAGTCCCCCTCCTCCCCCCAGAAATTTGCTAAAGCTTCAATTCTTCTTGCATTTTCCACACTTTATTGACATATATCAAGTAAGTCTCAAATCTACCTTTTTAACTAGCTTGCATACTTCTTCACCTAGTGCAATTATTTTCAAGAATAAGAATATATACCACGTATCAATGCTCAGCCAAAAAAACCCCCAAAACTATCAAACTACCTCTTCTGTAGACATCTCCAAGCCAGAGAGTCCAACTAGTATTTTTGTGTAGACAAAACGGAAAGTGCCATGAGCATACTCTAGAGGTGCTGGCCTTCCACATTCAGAAAGTTCAACGTCTAAACCAGGAGAACCAAGTTGTAAATAAGCTTCAAACTCCTTCTAGTTGATGAAAATTCTTACCTGAATGCGGTCTGGATCATACGGCAAAAATACCCCAGAATTTACTTGTACATCGTCTTACTTTCAGGTGGTAAACTACTTCATACAGCATTTGTTTGCATCATTATGATGATATCCTAATATTTAAACTGATCCATGCCAGTTACTACTTCGTATACAAGCTTTGCATGGTTATTCACTTCTTTCTGACGTTTGGTATCTAATCTTTTCTAAAGAAGTCATATAAACATACATTCTGAAAAAACCTCCTCACAGCATCACATAGAATCATTAAGGGTGGAAAAGACCTTTAAGATCATCAAGTCCAACCATCAACCCAACACCACTATGCCCCCTAAACCATGTCCCAAAGTGCCATGTCCACACGTTTTTTAAACACTTCCAGAGATGGTGACTCCACCACCTCCCTGGGCAGCCTGTTCCAATGTTTGACCATTCTTTCAGTAAAGAAATTTTTCCTAGTATCTCATCTAAACCTCCCCTGGCACAACGTGAGGCCATCTCCTCTCGTTCTATCGCTAGTTACTTGGGAGAAGAGATCAACACCCACCTTACCACAACCTCCTTTCAAGTAGTTGTAGAGAGAGATAAGGTCTCCCTCAGCCTCCTCTTCTCCAGACTAAATCACCCCAGTTTCCTCAGCTGCTCCTCATAAGACTTATGCTCTAGATGCTTCAGCAGCTTCGCTGCCCTTCTCTGGACACGCTCCAGCACCTCAGTGCCCTCCTTGTAGTGAGGGGCCCAAAACTGAACACAGTATTCAAGGTGCGGCCTCATCAGTGCCAAGTACAGGGACACAATCACTTTCTCAAGGAATTCCAAAAGTCATTTTCACTTTTATAGTTTCAGAAAAAAATAAGGAAGGCTGTGGGGGAGAGTGAAGTTACTCACCCTTTCGGGTCAAGCAGATCTCTGACTTTCTCATTGTAGATTTCCATATAGGATACTTCAACTTTAAAAGTATGAGAGTCGTTTTCTTCCACAGAGATTCTCTGAAATAAAGCACAACAGAGCCGTGGGATCAGACCCAGCTGCTCTGCATTGCCCATCATTGAAAAGGATTTTCCTGAACCTAAAGGAAAAAAGGAGAAGAAAACGCTTTAGAATGTAATTTCTGAGCTACTCATTTGTTCATGAAGCATATGTTTTAATTTTCTTTTTATTCCTCCAGAAGCACATATCAGAACAATGACATGCTATTCCAGACAGATAGCTTGCTCTCTGGACCACAAGGTACAGGTAAACAAAACCAGAAATTATCTTAAAGGTTTCGTGCAGCTGGGCCATTACTTGGGACCCCTTCGAACACACTCAAACACAAAAGCCTGAATGAGGCTTTGGTATGAACTACTCCTTTCAGGCTTTGAAAGTGGCCCCAACAGGCAGTAACCTGGAACATATTTGCAGAGCTGCTTTAAGAACTTTACATTGTCACTGGCTGTGCTAAATGTTTGACATTTAACATTATGATATTTCAAAATACAATTTTTAAATATTATCTAGCTTAATACTTATGCTTTGTTCTTCCTATTTCCCATGTGCACAAAGTGTTCTTCCCCTTTTTCACAGGAGACTCACCTGTCTGTCCATAGGCAAAAATACAAGCATTATATCCCTGAAAGGCCTTTTCAAGAATTCCTTCTCCAAGGCACTTGAACACCACTTCTTGACCTAGAAAAGAATTAAGTTTATTTTAAATTGAAAAACAGACTAAAATTTACTGAAAGCAAGAAGAAAAAAAAAAAGTGTTGCAAATTATTTTTTTTATTATTGAGAGCATTGATGAACAAACTACTTCACGTACAACTGAGTGACAAGTCCGCAATTGTAGCCTGAAACTAGTGTAACAGCTACCTCTGTGTTTAAATGTATTGCTGATTTTCCTGTGAAGGGAGCAGTTCTTCAAAAGGTATCATGTAAATTGAATGTTTAGAAAATAACAAGAGATGTCTAAATTTTATATTATTTAAGTGTAAATTTTGCAATTAATATACATTCTTTAATCACAAATTATACCCAAAAGAGTTCTGGAACAGAATTGCAATGAAACCCATTGGTGAACTAGGACATAAGAGGTACAACAAATATCATGCCCCATGGCAAGGTTGTGCTGGAACCAAGATAAAAACATTCCGATGACAGTCAGGCAGGAAGCGCATATTAGGAGTCTAAGAGACTTTAACAGAGCTGTTTGAAGATATATTCTGGCAAATCCGTAGTTTGAAATATCAACTGCAGAATTTCATAGTCTGATAATTGTCTCCTTGTGCCAGGCAGATTTTAGATGTGCTTCAGTCTTTTAGATGTAGAAGATGAAAATAGGCAAAGCGTGGTTGTTGTTTGTGGTTTGTTTTTTTTTTTTTAATAGGAAAGCCCAGAATTTGTACACCACAAAAAGGGTCAATGGATTGTCTGCTTTGAGCTCCGATCAGAGAATTGCACCAGCTATGTGTACACCCAAAACAGGCAGAGCTGAGCTATGGACAGTATTTATACACCTTCTGGTGTTTGGTTTTAAACTTAGGTTCCCTGCCTGGTGACTTTCTGAACAGCTATGATCAGCTGCATCTCTCATTTTGTAAGTTAGTTTCATCAGTTGTCAGTTACAAGAAATTATTTTGTACAGTGGATGCAATAGTGATGTCCATAGTCTTCAAAATGGAACATACTGGCATTAAAAAAAATAAGTCTAGCTACACATTTATACATTGCATGACAATATTTACACTCTATGATCCTTGAGTAATTGTCAGCCCAGAAAATTCTTGCAGAACCACCTGTGGAATGATTTACAGACATGTAAACAGGACTAGAAAGTACTAAATTACTTTTCCTTTAACCTGATTTCTCTTCTGCTGTAAAGGAAAAACTAGTGCAGTGATGTCCTATCAACTGGTCTTTGTGTATCTTTCCAGTTTATTTCTAAAATCTCCAAGTGTCACTGCTCCTTGTATTAACACAGTTCAGAAATGCTGAATACAGGAATTAAAAACAGAGAAGAATCTGCTGTACTGGAATAACTCTATCTCCTTGCCCATGCACATTCATTCACTTCTCATTCAACTATGATCATTTTACACCTATGCTGAGAAAGCACTGTTCAGTAACCTGGAAATAGCCACAGAGAATGTTAAAGTACTGAAGAATGAATGAAGAAAACGTACCAGTGGAAGATTTTAGTAAGAATGTACAATACACAAAAATCTGCTTTCCAAACATCTCCTGAGGGCACATTCTGAAGTTTCCAAATATCAAAGAGGCAGGGAGCCACTTACTATCTTGCTGAGCAAGAATGCAACATCAAGCAAAGATTGAAGCTGATTATAATTATTAAGAGGAAAAATAGCATATATATGCCACAATGATTGTCAGAAAAGGAAAAAACTTTTATTACCCACTTATGACCAGCAATAAAGCAGTAACCTCTTCCATGTTTCCCAAGAAAAAAAAAAAGAGATATCAAAGTGTTATAAAACTGCACAGTCATGATAACCATAAGATGACCTACAGAATCTCTTACTGCTAAACACCAGGAAAGGAACTCGGTTCAAATATCACAGGCAAAGCTGGAATTTTTTTTTTTTTAGAAGAGATTTAATTTTCAAATGGTCAACACTAAAGCTGAAAGTCAATCAGACACTTTCTTACAGTTTTTAAGAGCTCAGCATTACAAACATAGGCAAATGGGTCATTAAAAAGTGATGTTTATAGTAACCAGTCAAATTAGCATGGGATAAAATCAAAATTGTTTTTAAGTGCACTCACAGAAAAGAACACAAGATTAAACTTCAATTATGGGCATTTTATTCATTCACTAATGCAATGCACTGTTGAGGGTAGCAGCATATCAATCATGAGAAGTTGATGTTTTTCATTAAGCAACCTCACTGCTTCCCTCATTAATTTTATTAGTGGGTTTGCAAACTGCACTTTGAAGCTAAACATCTTCTCTACCTACTGAAATGGCTAGGTATTTCAACAGAAAAAATATAAAACGAGAATAAAAGTAGCAAAGTACAGCAGTGCACATGTTAATAATGGCTATTAAATTACGAATAATTCTAAAATAAAACTTTCACATTATCTGCCCAAAGACCTATATGTGAAAATCTTAGTTGGAATCTCTGAGCCAGCATGAATTATTAGAACATTTCAATTCAGACAATATGTTAAGATAATAAAAAGTCCCTGAAAACACAAAGATAAATCAATACCATGACATGCAAGAATACTGCAACACACAACATTTTCCAAACAAGATATTTAAGCATTCTCTCTCATAGCTCTATGCTCTTTCCCCTTCTCTTCCTCCAAATCGTTCCCTTAAGTTTCTGAAGCCCCACTAGGGAGATCCACTTTGACAGCATTCCTAGGGAAAACTACATGTTGCAGAGGAACCCTAGGTCTGTTCTCACAATCTGCAAAATGAAGCCAATGACATTTACAAATACAGTTCGTATGTTCTCAGTTCACTAGACTGGTGACAGCAGACAGAAGAAAAGGGAGGGGAGGAAAAAGGGCCACACCCTTTCCAAAACTCCCTTTTAAAAAGGACAGTTAACAGTTTTAGTCTTTTCTAAGATGGCACTCATTTAGTGACAAACACATTCAAGACATACTGCAACAGAATTTTGTTTCAGTGTCTGGTTTCCAGATGTCTAGTATTTCTAGTTCACAACAACTAGTCGATCTGAAATAGGGATAACTGTCTCATATTAGCACAGATTCATTCAGCCAGGTCATGACCGCAACGTTATGACACATCGCTGCCGTTCCTGAACACTCTCCTTTACACGGCAAAAATAGCTAGAACCAAATAACAACTTGTTATGTACAGCACTGAAAATTCAGGGCTCTTTATAGCTTAATCGCTAACCCAGAACATTTTAATAAGCAAATCTTGACAGCAATAAATTGCAGTTGGTTCCATGATCTAATAGTTAAAATAAAACTTGGTCTGAGGAGATCAGAATTATTAAAAGCTCTGCTAGATAGCAGTTTCAAAAGAATCTCTCTAAAAGAAAAAAGAGGTCTATGGTTCACCTTAACATGAACCTAAAAGCACAGCAGCTACTACTGCAGCTTAACACTACAGTATTGCCAAAGCACTGGAGTCTTTAATGTTTAAAAACTTCAATCCACTAAAAGGTCTCAAGTACTACAAATTAGGTGCCACAACATCTACATTTCAAGTGCCTGACCCATTCTGTACTAAAACCATATGGAATAATTAAATTTCCTCAAAAAATGTGGTGTGTGACACAAAATTAAGTTATACATACTACATAGTCTCCTCTAAAAAAAAAAAAAAGAAAAAAAAAGTCAAGGGAACAGTAAGACAGGGATAGGCTTCTCCCACATAACAGCTTAAATAGGTAGGCCTGAGCTACAGACACTCCTGTCTGCTCAAAATCCACATGTTACAGTCTTTCATGAGGGCAGCAGTGTACAGTTCTTTAAGCCACCTGCCTGGTTTGTTTCCTTTTAAAAGAGTCTCTGGAAGGGCAGTAGTGAGCATATATATGTATTTCATATAAAATTAAAGCTTAGTCAGGTGCTTTGCCTCTCAGGAAAATGCAGCCTGCAGAAACACAGATATGAAATTTCAGGCCAAACGTGATGCAGCTTAGGGAGTTTAAGAAAAATCCACGGACAAGTCAATACACTGTGAGGTCCTTGGAATGGACCTGCCTAAGTACTATTGTAGTTATTCATACCATCTCTTGAATCCTTCCCAAACTGAAGGTTTTCTTTTCTTCCTTTTGAAAATTTACTTTACTGCAGACTTCAATAGGCTCTTATTGTTGTCTAGGCTTGTAAAAAGAATTCTTTGTTCTCATCACTGAGAATTTCTCAGTGTCCTCCCCCCTTTCACCAAAATGCCAAGCGTGTTATTTATGTCTGTGAGCTCTTCAAGGCAAGCAGGTGTGTCCTTATCCATGAACTGACGACCCATTCAAGTCAAGAAACAAACAGTAATATGAAGCTATTTTGCTTACTCTCAACACACCTATCCTACAGCCTGTGAGGCAGAGCTCGTCCCTTTTCCAGATGAAGGCAAAATCATTCTGTCCTATAACCAAATTCCTCTCCCTCCTCATAAATCTATTTCATTGACCCATTTTTGGTTTGTGGTTTGTTTTTTTGGCTTTTTGTTTTCTTTTCAGATAAGAGGCTCATATACTCACCAAATACCCAGCTATGTCTTTCAGAATTAAATCATCAGAAGAAAGGCTGAGGAGTTGGCATGCAATGATCAGACCAAACCCAGAGGTTTGCAACTGTTCCTTGCTTGGAACAATGCAGCCACAAATTGTTCATAAACACACAGCCTCAGTATTTGGAGTAATCCTCTGCCTGCTAATTGGTTGGACTAAAACAAAACACAGTTTAACATAGACACTTCCTTTTGAGTGTTAAGAGCGAGTTCTGCATCTTGCAATCTCTAAGCTGGGATATCAAGTTGTTAAAGAGCCTCTACCTCTTGGAGAATCGGAAACCAAAGCACCACTTCCACAAAGGTCTTGTGAAAGAGCTTAATCCTATTCTGTGTTCCAGATGCCCTGCTGTCTTCACAAGAGATACAGTCCTGCAAGGGTCTGCAAAGATGCCCTCTCTAGATGTTTTTCCTCACGTGAGGGTAACCTTCACTATTAATGTTAGTGATACTGCTGGGTCATTTTAGAATTCAGAATCCAATTTCCACTTCAGTGGAAAAACATTTTTTTAAACGCAATTCTGCTACTAAGAGCCTACTTCTGTACCATGATCATTAAAAAAAAAAAAAAGGATAGTTTAGTGCTTTGTGCACATGGAGTTATTGAAATTTAAGTTAGAACCTAAATACACAGCATTAGGTCTTCACAGCAACAATCCCCATGTTTTCAAATGCTAGAAAGAGAAGGCAACTTTCCAAACTGGAATAAGAACCGTTGATACTTCCTGCATATGAGTTCAGAAAGAAAATTAACACATACAAAATAAGCCCTAGCTTCAGACAAAAAAGATGAAGATAACTCACAGAATGAGTTCAGTGTAAAAGAAAGAGATGGCTAATCGCATTTCAGGGTCAGCCTTGCTCTTCCACAGGCTGAGACTTTTTACCAATTACCCATGTGATTAGGTTTAGCCAAACAAGAATCTTGCTCTTCTGCAAGCAATATCACTAAGTGCCAGCAGTATTGTAGATCAATCAGCAAAGTGAAAAATAAAACCAGCCCATAATCATGTGTGATAGCTTTAAGGATCCTGTAACAAATGTGCATTTCCAGGAGAACACAGACTTTGGTTTTGTTGACATTAAAAAAAAATTGTAACACGGAAGAGTTAATCACGTAAGTCAACACATTATTCAGACGTATGTTGTTTGTGATGCACTCCAGTCTGTGGGTTTTCCAATGTCCTATGTGTCAATCGACAAAATCTTTAATGTAATAGGGTATACACAACAACAGATCTATTCAACTTAATGCAAGAAGAGCATGTTTTGGTTTTACACAGAGAGCAATGACTGATACGGGAGCCTAGTACTTGAGAATTTCTTGTTAAACCTTCCACTGTCACATCTTCCACTGTATTTCTGTGATGAAGATAAAAGAGTTTTTCAAGTAATTAAATTTGTCTCACATACCTTTTTTATTTCAAAAATTTTAATTTTGAAGCTCATATATTACTTACACTTACAAACACTCTGAACTTAGCTTTCAAGCTTTATACGTGTTTTCTTTTAATTGTGCAACTAATCACTGCTCTTGCCCATGATACTAAACTCACACATCCACATACAGTTACTTCAGGCAGGGAGCATTTAATGCATCTGTCTAGCTTCCGGATCAGCGCCCCTTCTGTAGTCCAGCATTCAATCAAGAAATTACAGTTTAGCTCAAAAACTCAAGGCTGTCAGGTGGCTTGTTTGGATTCTTTAAGCTTGTTAATTCTGTAACAGCCTCTAGTATGATCTCCAGACATAGATAGCATGTGTACTTGCAAGGCAGCTAGGACAATTGCTCTTTGTTCCATGAGGCAAAGGAATTATAAAAAAAACCAAACCACCCCAGCCAAAACCAGTTATCATTTTTTTTTTTTAGTGCAGTAATTTAGGCCAATCTGTGAAAAAATCCTTAGGGTACCTTAATACTACAAACATATAAAAACTGCAGTCTTACCACTTTGGCATTTGGTTTGTTGGCTCTAAAACAAGAAATGCTACTGTAGTAACAGTTCATGCACAAGCAAGTGAACAAGCCAACAACCCAGTAACTTAGGCCCGGAACAGTTTTGGGGTTTTGGTGGGGGTAGGGGGGTGGGTGTTTTGGTTTTGTTTTGTTTTTTACTTTTATTTTTATATTCTGTCAAATTCATTATGTTTTAGAACATAGTGGGTGGGAATTCACAAGTTAACTTCAATACCACACCAAAAAACCCCCAAAAAACAACAACTTAAAAAAAAAAAATCAAGAAATCAGTGAAAGCATTGTTTTTCATATACAACTCCTGAAGCTTACATTCTCATCATATTTCTGGAAAAAAACAAGGAAAACAGTCTTGCTTTGGTTCCCCGCCCCAGCAGGGACATTATCTGGAATGGGCAAAAAAAACACCTTATAGCTTCTTGGCCAGTAAGAAAATGCTAGAAATGCGGGTGACAGCTTTCTAGAGTCCAGTCCAACAAGGGGTTCATCTGCATACAGATAATAAAACTTCAGTTCTCAGGTAAGATTAATTCAATGGCAACTTCTGAAATAGGCTAAAGAAATCTAGGTTTGACTCAAATTAAAAATAAATGGACCAAGAACCCCACTGAATTCACAGAGAGATGGGTTAAACTGAGACAGAAACAAGTTTAACTGGTTAGGGGTGCTTCTCTGGTCTATCTCTTCTCTACAAGTGGGTTAGCACCATGGTGCACCCACTAGGTGCAGCTCTCACCTGCACACTCAAGGCACATGGGGCCAAGATCTGGGTGCGTACCTTCCTTTAAAAGCAAATGGCGGTGCTGCGTGCACCAATGGCTCTACCAGCCTGAACTATGAATACTGTGCAGTGCATCTATCCAGCACAAACAGTTGCTGAAAGACGAACCGACACAAGTAAGAAATAGAGAGGAATCTATGACCAAACGCAACCCCCGAGACTTGGGATTTCATACCGGGGCTACGGCAGTCAGAGATATGGTTTAACACAAGTATATGACAGTTCATTTATTAGTCCACTAATCTCAAACTTTGAGCTAAATTAACCCTATCAACCTTCAAGATTTCTTATGGGCAATGAAACTTCATAATACGAACATCTAAACTGAATGCTTTTTATTTTTTCTTCTCCTTTCCATGGACCACAGCCTTGCAATCCTAGTGTTCAGAGCTGTCCCTATCAAAACAACTCCTCTTATGAAGTATGAATATGCTAATACACAAATCCAGTTATGAGAAAACGAACTACTGGGATTACAATATTGCCCGGTTTATCCAGCTTTTGGGAGAAAGGAGTCACAAAGCTGATCACTTAGAAACATCAGGGATCTGAACGATCAGACTACACATTACTTGAAAGACCCAAAATAACCACACTATCTGAGAAGATACATGCTTTATTCCTCTCTCGGGCACAGGAACGCAGACCACTAAAAACACACACATTCTCACTAGCATTAGTCAGAAGTAATTTCTGATGCAGAACTGAAATTTCGTTTTAAGTGACAAAACCCTCACAAGAGGCTCTTCCAGGGGATAAAAAAAAAAAAAAAAGAATGCTATAGCTTGGATGTAAAAGCATCCCTCCTGAACAGTATACTGGGCACCTTAATGCTTGCATTCCTTCTAAAATGAGGCACTAGCACTCAAGGTGACTCAATCCCTGTGAAAATGAGAAGTCTGCTTCTGTGAAGAAGTCACTTGAGCATCACAGTACAAAATGCAAAAAACTCCACAAATCCAAGCTCTCATATGTTCTCAAGTTATTTACACTGTCAAGTGTATGGAAAATAGGTTACCTGCATATTTTGTGGTGTTTGATTCATCCATGGACCAGAAGCAGTGATCAAAGGCAAACACCTGTAGAAGCACATAAAAAGACAAATTAGGAACTCTGGCTACAATACATTTCTCTTAATGCAGTACAAATCCATGACTGTTTAACTGCAGTTAGGCTCTCTCTATTGTTTCTGTGGATCCTAAACCAGAACTGTAAAAAGGCTTCATCAGAGGGAATACTTCTGGGAAATCTCAAGAGTTGCAGAACTGCAATACTTCTTCCTGTCTGTATTATACACAATACAAAATATCGCTTACTGTATCCCTTAATACTGACTTCAAAACACAGCCAAAACCTAGTAATTAGCTCCACCCTTCTCCAGGCACTAATGCTGACAAAAGTTTCAGCCAATGTTAATGAAACAGCACCAAAAAGACTCAACATATAGAACTTGGCAAGATGACTATTTAGCAGACATCAATACAAGATGCACAAAAGTTTTACCATGGGCTGGACTGCTAATGCTCAAAGAGCATTACTACTTACAAGCCTTAAGGAGCAAATAAATAGTATCAGATTACCTGCCTAAACTATGCAAATAGAAAACGTAGCTCTATTAGACAAAAGCTATCAGAGCCTGCTCTAATGAAAAGATTTAATATTACTTCAGTCAAGAGTTCCAGCTGTGTAGAACTCAAATGAGATTCAGTATTGTGCTCAGCGTGCTTATGGACCTGGAACAGTGTCCCGTAAAACCACTTAACATGTTGGGATTTGATCCAAGTTACTTTTTCTGCACATCTGAGAACATCATGGTATAGACATTTAACTGTTGTTTTGACAGCTTTGTATCCCCACAAACACATCTTAAGCTGCAGTATATTTTCCACATTTTACCATGGTAAACTGACTGTGGATGAGCTAATGATATAGATTCTATTTATTTTTTCTCTTTAGGGATCCTAAGAGGTGGGGAAAACAACTCAAACAACCCTCTTTGCCTGGGCCAAGATTTTCTTTGCCTGGTCTTCCAACAGCCAATCTCCTTAGAGAGACAAACCATGCGGGTCAACATGGAGCAAGAGCCACAGGCTATTGGCAGAAATGCCAAATTCCCTGTGAGACAAACCCTGAAGTGAGGAAGAAGATGGATCATTTCCTTTCTGCTTTTGTGAATGTAGAAGAACTTGGATTCCCTAGTATTGCAGAATTAGTATGCAATCTAATATACATATATACTGTAACCTAACTTTTCCCAAAATGCCTGTTGCTGCAAACATTTCAGAAGGATAAAAGGAGGTAGCACAGTAACCTCACCTCCTTCCCTTTCCCCCAACTTAATGCAAAACACATCAAATGGCCTGAGAGAAGACTAGATTCTGAGACAACACTTAGTCCACAAGAGTGAAATGAATTCTGGAATTCCATTCAGAAGAGAAAAATAAACAAACAAAAATAACCCATAATAATAATCTAACAGGGAGGTCCGAGCCACTTACTGCAGCGCAAATAGAAAGAGACAACTTCATGAGTCAGGACGTACCCTGCTGCGACTGAGTCAAAGATGTAGTTTTGCCACTGAACTGCATGCAAAATGCAGCAGTTACTTCACCTTATCTTCAGACCTCCACCAAGTAGGGGGTATTTTAAATTACTTTTGTGCATTTGTTCATCATGCTTCAAATCTAAGCATAAAGAACTCTCTGCCACCAATAAAAACGCTCTGACCCTTTTCGTAACTTTTACAGCACAAGAAATAGTGTTTTCTCGCATTCCACTTCTATGGAAATTTTCCTCACGGGACTTGGTAACAATACCTAATCTCTTGACGATCAAACGGCAAAGCAGTTCAATTACAAAAGAAAACCCAGTTGTAAGGACCTAAACCTCCCAGATGCCCATTCTTTCACCTTGAAACTAAGCGGTATCTGCAGTGGATCACACAGCTCAGTTCAGAAAGGTTACCCAGATACACATGCTCATCTGTAACGACTTAAATGTCAATACAGCAGTACCGTAGGCCAATTTAATCTATTGTCCTACACATTTTCCCCTTGGTTAACAAGGAAAATCATGATGAGATTATTCAATGACTCCTAATGTAAACACTGATCTTGTTAAGAGACTTCACAAATTAAAATGTGTGTTTGCAGCCAAGTGTTTCTTGTAGAAAAGTAATTGTTATTTGGATTTTTTTTTTAAAGGTAAAAATTGGTCAGACTGATTTTTAAAAGTTCCAAAATGATTATGCATAGGAAGAGAAAAATTCTGTCTCAAGATAAAACAAATGTAAATATATTATTTTAGTATGTTTTCATACTAAACATAAAAAGCCACAACACGGACTCAGGCTATTTATAAAATCTGTTCTGGAAAACTGCCAAATCCTTCTAACAGAAGTAACAAGATTCCTTTTTAAAAAAAAGAAGTCAGGCAAAAAAGTGGAAACTGCTGGGGCATGCACTCTTTGCAAAACATGTCAAGCAGCTGCATCTCCTTCCTCTATTAAAACAAGTGGGCAAAAATTTAAAAATTGCTTTGATTGGTGATGACAAAACAGCAACCTTGAAAATTCCCAGCAACGATAATTTAAGCACCCAACCAAAGCAATTTTCAGGACAACTCAGACCTTTGGGTAAAGAGATTCCAAATGCAAGAATTAATAGAGGAAGAAATAAGGCATACAAGAGCAAGAAACTTGGTCCCTATCAGTGAGGCTCTTCTGCACATACATAACAAAGTCATTTTACAGGAAATGCCTGCAGAACAGTGTCCTACCTGAAAAGCAACCCTTTTGATCATCTTTTCTGTACAAAGGTAACTCACTAGTTAATGTTCTTCTGACCTCCAGTGCAGGAACTGCAGGGCATGCAGTCCCAAGAGCACACAAGCATACCTGGGGACAAGATACAGAACCTACACTATAAAAAACCCACAAACTCTAAGTCTCATCTAAGGTGCTCCCTTCCTTCTCTCATCTTCACTGATTATTCTTCCTTGAAAATGAAAACATTGAGTATTACTTTGCCTTTTGATAGGAGTATGCAGAATAATAATTTTTTTCACCTTAATTTTTTTCTCCCCATGATCCATTTCCCTGAAGAAGGCATGAACCCCCCTGTCAACATGACTGTCAAAGCTATCATAAGTTCTGTTAATGCTTAAGTCTCAGGCTCAATGGCCAATACTCAACCTGGGCATTTACTGGGCACTGAAAACATCTTTTCAGCTTTCTGAAGAAGACTCAAAAGCAAAAATCACTACCAATTTATATCAAAACTGTATCAAACAACTATATCAAAACTACTATTGAAACATTTTTGAACAGAGAGATCTGACACACACAAACAGAACTTTAAGCTTCAAGCAGCCTTGGTGAACTAGTTTTTAACCACACTTTGTAAAATCATTCCATTTAGGTGTTTTAACATTGAAAGAAAAAAAGGAAAATATTTTTTGTTTGAAACACAAAGTTTAAAATTGCTACCTGTATCTCCACTAAGATTCCCTGAACTTTCAGTTATTCTTCTAAGCATTTTGAGTAAGTCTCTGTGACTATATGGACAAGTATTTCTGCTTTCCTACTGCTCTGATGTCAATTCCATAGCCACTGTAACAGGAAGCTTAATGAATTTTCAGAAGGTAAGCAAAATGGGAAAACCATAAAAGACAGGTATACACCTACTTCAAGCATCTGCACAGGTTGGCGTTCAACCACAAGCAGACATAAGTTCACACAGGTGTTGGCCAGCTCTCACAACTGGACCCAAAATTATTCTTGACTTTTAAATTACAGGGGGAACTAACAAACAAGCCTTAAAACTTTCCTATTTTTGCAAGATTCTGTACCTCATGATTCATCCCAGTATCTAAAAGAGAAAGCTAGATAAAAGGAAGCTGCCAAGAACCTGCCTCACTAGGGTAGTAGCTTCTAAACCAGAAATTTTGAGTGGAGCTAAGAGACTAACAGGGTGGGGGGTTTTTACCAGCTCTATTATTCCAGTGTTTAACATTGGACAGTATTTTCAGTCTGAGTGGTATGACAGTTGGAAAAAAGCTTGGACATTGCATTTTAGACATGTAGAAATAGTCAAGTAACAGACAGAGGTACAAGTAATGGAATACAACTCACCAAGACAGATATTGCACAATTGGAAGTCCATAGTAAAAATAAGTATATGAGCTTGAGTATGTACTCATTTTATATTCATTATAAGAATTTTAACTCACAAACATATAAAAATGGAAAGTTATGAAAAAGAATTAGCCAGGAAGTGCTAGATCCTGGTACTACCATATCCAGATGTGCACATGACCCTTAGCTAACAGAGTTACATAGGCCATTTCCAGGTTATAGAGAACGATGCTCAGAGTGTTAATAACTATTAGAAATTAAACAAAAGACTGTTCTGGCAATCACAAAATTTAAATAAAGAAAAGATATGCGGCTTTGATTCGGATTTCTTCAGCAAACACCTACAGCAGTTTAAGACAGCTGTTGGTTATTATTTTGCTAGAGAGGCAGCTAGAGGTTATGGCTTCCACAGCAAAACAAGCAGTGATGCAGGTCCACACATCAACCACGTCAGTGAAAAATCTGGGGGGTTGTCTCAAATTCACTCGTACCTGTGGCTTAAAAGGAGATTGCAGATTTTTAACTAGAAGAGCCATTGTGCCTGACAGTGTTGCACAGCAGTAACTTCTCACAGAATCAGATAAGACAGCCAAGGGGTATTCACATTTTAAATAGCCAAAACAATATTCTGCGGAACTAATTTTTATTAAAGCCCCTAATCAATGGCTTGAAGAATTAATAATTTTAAGGGTTTACACATGCAATATACTTATGTGAACTACTTACAGGTAATGAGTACCATATCCGATATTAACTGCTTGCCGGATTAAGCCAAATGACATAATTAGTTTATATAAGAGTCTAATTTCGCATTCATTATTAGTTGTTTTAAAGCCTAATCCTTGGTATAGACTAGACAGTCCGGGGCTTCCAGCATTTAGGAACGCATTACCCAGACCGAACATAATCCCTAACATACTGTCTATGTAACCATAAAATATTGTAAATGCACAGCTAACCTTTAATAGCCATTTCCATCTGACCAATAGATGGTCAATCTATCATGTTTTGTTTTTACAGAAAAAAAATTACACTGAACAGGTGCAGATATTGCTCACATGAATCTCAATGAAGCAGTCAATCTGACATGTAGGGTGACTTACAGGGATATCTGGTGGCTAAAAAGAAAAGCAAAGGAGAAATTTTCATTCACCAGGCAGCTGTTCCTATGTCCCTATTACAACTGCTGATGGAGATAAGCAATAAAGGAGATACATCAGGAAATGGCACACAAAGTCTACATCAGTACGCTCAATATAAATGGAAGCCGTTAAAGAACTGAAGGAGGATGGTCACAGTTCAAAAAAACACAAGACCTACCACAGGCCTAAAGAAGTATGAACAGAAAATGTGAAGGTGGCCTGGGGTACAGCTCACAAGTCTCAGCCCAGAACCACCATTCTACTTTTGCCACAACATTATACGAGAAGCCCAAGGTTAGTAATATACTTAAACACAGTGTTTGTGGAAATAGCAAAACACCCTAATGTCCTTCTATAACTTTTCCTACCACAGCTTCTGAACTACCAAGTTGAGCTGGGATCACAGTTCATCCATGGCTGATGATAAACTAGCTCATTAAACTGAAGTTAAAGAAACTTCCAATATTTATAAAATTTCATTAAAAAAAAAAAAATCCTAATTTGAAAATCAACTATGTGCAGTACCCTAAAAACTGTATAAATCAAGAAACATCCAAATCTCATATGACATCTTTACAAACTCACAAAGCCTATTTCCACTGATGGTAAGAACCTTCTGTTCCAAACTGATAAACATTTCACACATCATCTTAAGTTTTGGCGTTATAGAGCTCAAGGATGTTAATGACCATCTGACTATACCTAACAGTAATGTGGCATATATGCACAAACATGCACCTGTTTTTTTTTTTTGTCAAACAAATGCAAGACCATAATTATGCTTTTACATAATGTCAACAATATCTTTAACTAGCTATAATGGAACATGAATGATGTACTACAGAAAATTAAGGCTCTTACAAGAAAGTTTTTGTGAAATTACAACAACAAAAAGGAGTTTTTTTTGCTTTTGTAAAATTTTTTAATAATGATCAAACTTTTTTGTATTAGACAGATTAACTGGGATATATAGAACTTTATTAAATGCTTTCAAAAAAACTGAGAAACTAAAAAACAGATCCAGGAAAAAAAAATCAGTACAGCATGCCATTTTAAACAGTAGTATCAGTATCATTCATTTTTACCTGCTGTGACCTTAAATTATGTATTTTTGTTTGGGGTTTTTTCCAAATACAATTATTTCAATTCATGTTAAAATATTTTGTTCCATTCTTCCCTGCCTATTGGGAATAATACACATCACTTACTGAGAAGATGTTTTCTTCTGACACTTAGAAAAATTAATCAAAACAATAGATATTTAAATTTTATATATACGTATGCACACACACATATAAAATAGCTGTCTGAACTATGAAGTAGATAGTTATCCATGTAAGACAGATATATAGATAATATCCATCCCAATTCCTATTCCCAGATGTCCTACAGAAGGCCCTGCTACACCTGCAGAAGTCACATCAGACTTGCATACACTATTTCTTGAAGATCTACAAATCAAAGAGAATAATGTAAAAGAAAACCTCATTCAGAGCTAACTACACTTTTCTCCTGTAAAAAGTACCATCCAACAGAAACAGAAAAGGTAAAATTATAATTAAACTGCTGAAGCAAAATACCAACACAGAGTTTTGCATCTGCTGGTAAGCCATAGTTCACACAGTCTTTTCACCTTATCATTGCTACCAGCCCTGTACCAATACTGTATTTGTCATCCTCATAAGGCTCCTTCTCTGTCCAACAGATACATAACATTCATCCCGCCTCCCTTCCCCTGCATTATGAACAAAACAGCAAATCTTTTCTAAGCAAATTCTGTGACACTTTGGTCACTTTTATACAAATTATTAATTCCTGAAGATCATCAGTTACAAACAAGAACAGTTTGTTTCCTACTACATGTATTTTGCCACCTTTTAAATACAGTATTTTAACTTTTAAGCAGAATTATATGCAATGAAATGTTTTACATACAATACTCATTTACTCTTTCAAATGTTTTTACGAATGTATTAAAATCAGGGCTTGTCGTGGTCACAGCTTTAACAAGCCATGTGCCTTGCCTGCATGTCAGTTGGATTAAAATGTATTCTTCTAGAATTATGAAGTCTTTAACTTAGAAGTATGAGGACTAGATTTTTTTTTTAAATGTATTTTCCTTTATCAAAGCTGTATTGATCACGTACTATGGGAACACGCCCAATATTGCTGCATTGCTCAACATTTTCAAGCAGGTACAAATGGAAAGAGAGAAAAAAATACTTACCTTAGGTGGTTTTCTAGATGATTGGCAAAAAAAATCAGCAACGATGACAAGAAGTACGAATACACCATTCACATAAAGGGAAGGGAGCAAAGAAAAAGAAAAGAAACAAGGTCAGTGTACATCATGACTATAATCTGAACTTTTTTGTAATCCACAATGTATTTAAGAATAATCAGATCAGATGATATTTATATGATGCACCACAGATTTTTAACGAGTATATACCTAACTAGTAATACAGCCCAGCATTAAAAAAAAAGGAAAATGTCAGATTCCTTATAGGCATAAAAATCTAACAGCACTGAGTTCCAGAAGGAAGACAAGCACCCGTTTTCTTTGTCATGGAAGTCAAATCACAGCCCATCTTTTGTGGCAAACAAATTGAGCCTGCAAACTGGCAGACCAAGGTGCCCAGGGTGAAGCCCCACTGACTTTAGCAGTGCTATACATGCAAGACCAAGGTAAGAGTGAAACATTTCTTGCAGAGATTATAGAAGCGTGAAGAAAAATAAATCTGTGTTTTCCCTAGCCAAAGAAAACCTACGCTAAACACCATTACCCTTCACATACAACTCCAACAAGTGCTGTCAGAAATAAAGCAGAGATGACAAACTCCCAACCTAAAGACACCAGCTCAGAGTACTTCAACCTGTCCTTAAATGCTTTGCTGCTTATGCTGGCAGCCATATGGCCACATAGTAAATTACTGAATCACAGAATCATTAAGATTGGAAAAGACCTTTAAGATCGTCAAGTCCAACCATCAATCCAACACCACCATACCCACTAAACCATGCCCTTGAAGTGCCATGTCTACACATTTTTTGAATACTTCCAGTGATGGTGACTCCACCACCTCCCTGGGCAGCCTGTTCCAAATTAAATCAGTTTGTTTTTTTTTTAGTGGGACTGGTTTCGAGTAAGATTGCTGCCCTATCTCACTGGGCAGCTCACTGCTCGCTAATGCCAATGCAGGAGAGGTGAAAATACAGTGAAGAATTAAACTGACTTAGGTCATTCATGAAAACTACAACCTTAAGCATATGTTTAAATTATGCATTGAAATAAGCCTGAAGTGATGCAGAGAGGAAATTTTAACTCGCTCTTCACTTGAAGAAAAAAAGCATATGAATGTGCATGAAGAAAAAAACTACACAACCAGAAAGGTCTACAGACAAAACAGTACAAGTAGAGAAGGTAGTAAGATTTATAAAATAAGGATATGGATGAAGGGTCTCTAGCTACCCAGCAACAGACAGACTACACAAAATTTTAAGATCATCAAGAGTCTAGAGTCTCAGTGCAGAAACACATGGGACCAAGCTGTGCTTTCATCCACCAAACTACATATGCTACCTGCAACTAAGTTGGGGTGGGGGGAAGAACACCTTGAGCAAAATTTTCTTAGCAACCCACAATAAGACAGCTCAGAAAAAAAAAAGAAAAAACCACACACTGAAGAGAAGCAAATCCACAAACACATCTTATGCAATCTTTTCCACCTACTCTCAGCTCATACCTTAGATGACACATCTGCCTAGACCAGAAGTTACATAGCTGGTACACGATACTGGTATAATGCAAACATACTTTGCCTCTGAGCCAAACCACTCATTGCAGTCTTACCCTTTCATTAATAGTGGCTACACAGGCTCAGCTTATAGCTAGCTCATGTCCAGGTGTCTCAGAACTTGTGCAGAATGCACTTTTAGCTGGGTAATTCATTTAGCTATACCTTAAATATTTTTCACTTTAATCAATTTTCAGATGTGATATAAGTCCAATGTTACCAGCTTGTCTAGCCACAGTCCCAGCACCAGCTCTAAACTTCCAATTCCTACTTGCAAGACAATTTCCTATCAAAGTCAGTCATCCAAGGTTATTTGAAAAGCTTATAATTTCTTTTAAATACACTCATACCTTGAAAAATAATTCCAGAATACATCAGCTTTCCTAGGGAGTTCCTGATAGACTGCTGCACAGGTTCCGCAGAAACCCTGAACATTTTAATTGAAATAAACACCAAGAGAAAGTTTATCAACTGTTTTTTTCTGGGATTATCTTTATAAACCCCAATTGGAAAAGGTGCAGAACATCACTGAAGTAAACAAACGGTTTGACGTATTTCTTAAGATATTTACTTAAGCAATACAAGCCACTACCTTGTAGGAAGTTTCCTCTTATTTTCCTCTGATGCCCATTTTAAGAAAAGCATTATAGCAACTTTTTAAACCACTGGTGGACAGCAGAGCTTCCCAGTTGGAAGCAAGATCTTCATCACTGATCTGGATTGCAGCTTCCTATTGTATGTCACATCCTACTGCTCCAAACGCTTTGGCTATTAAGACCAAGCTAGGAACTCCAAAAGTCACCTGCTAGCATCACCAGCAGCAATATGATCAAAGGCCCATGAAGTAAGTCAGCTACATTGGCTTACAGGATAGACTTTTTTTTTTTTTTTCTTTTTAAGTTATTTGGAAATTCCGGCTAACCAACTCACTGTAACCATTATGCTGGCAGTGATTCAGATGGAGACACTCTGACATACTTTCTTCAGTCAACGGACTCACACTAATAAATAAAGAACTTTTTGCAGTTTACCAGAAATCACATCTGTAGCAGCCTAAAGATGTGCTATAAAACCTGCATTATCCTCAATCAATTTTTCACATAAGTTTTTGAGGTTGATTTTTGGTTTGGTTTTTTTTTTTTTAATATGTGCTTTGTGATTTCTTTCTTTTCCAGGAAACCAGCAGCTTTCAGCTTTATAAATAATTGCATTTGTCTCAATTTTTACCAAACACTGACCATACAAATGTGGTGAATCAGTGTCACAGCTGGGTCTGGGGGATAGGGACAGACAGCAGATCACGAGGATACAACAATTAGGATTTTTATTTCCCAAAATTTTTAATTCCATGTCTAATCATCCGTGGGGTCAATGACAACATGCAGGTATACCTTTTGAATGACAGCAAAATCTGATCTGAAGTGGACAGCCAGTACGCTTCAGGAAATTTATTGCAGAGTTACCTAACCTTGTAACACATCTGCACAACAGCAGATTTTGGTTTAACCTGACGATGGGCATCTTCCATCTGCACACTCAGATGGAAGACTGACTTTTCTCACATGCCTAAAACTCAAAATCAAAGTAAATACCACCAAGAGCCTGAAAAATATTCTCACAGGTCAGAAGAAAAGTATGAATTTCAACGACCACAAAGTCCACGGAGCTTTTGAACTTCCTCCTGCCTTTGTCCTTAAGCCATCATGACTGTAGTAAAATATCACTAGAATGTTTTTCTAACTTTTCTGAGCAGTATGTCTGCTGAAGTCTACTCCTAGAATCTACTCAGGCTTTATCTTTCATAACAGTATTAAGGTTCTCCTGTCCTGCTTGGCTAACACACACTAAGATCGCAGAGTGAGTGGCTATCTCAAATTTTTATCGAGATGGAGAAAACCAATTTCTAGAAAGCTTCCTGCTAATGCAAACAGTTTTTTTTCCCTGTTGTCTCTTGCTAAAACTAAACCCATAATGCTTCTCACATTTGCTAAGAGAACTGACATTTTGTGAATTAATTCTAATGTTCTACACTAGTACATGAATGAGAAGTGTTCTTGACTGCATCCACATTTTCTCTCTACCATCTACCCACTGCCTGTGACAGCACAATGAGGAGTGCGCTTTCCTAGTAGTTTAACAACAGCAAAGGCTGTTTCTTTTTTTTTTTTTAAACTACCTAGACTATTTCACAGGACTGTCCCTTTGTCATATAAAAAGTTGATATAAGATGGCATTACATATTCTGACTAGAAAACCAGTCCCATGAAATAGGAAGCAACAGAAGACACTCTTGTACTGTAACATCCAAAAGTACATGATACTGTCACCTTAAAGACATAAGAATATTTTTTGTCCCTTAGTGAGCATTCCCAACCAAATGTCAATTCTACCCAGAAGTAAAAACATTTTATGCAACAAAAAACTTGAAAAGGTTTTCTCTCTATTCCACATAATGCGGTTTCATCACTCCATCCACCCCCAGTCAAGAAATGTTCAGTAGGGACAAGGTGCCTTTAAAAATGAGAACGTAGGTGTAAAACCAGGTACTCTCCACTGAAGGAGACAGAGGAACAAGGCATCTTTGAAAAACAGGTCTTGAATTCTCTGGAATGACACCCACACAGCCTAATTCATCCCCAATTCATCTGTGCTAAGAAGCCAAGTAGGTCACAATTGAACTATAATTATTCCACATTTTGGAAAGTATTCTGTGGATTCTTTTCCTTTCTCACAATTAGTTAGTGAAGACGAAGCAATCATAGCCAGCTATGTTAAGTAACCACATATAGTATCTATAGCAGATGATGAATGAATCACATGGCTTTGCAGCTTGCTCTTCTAAGCTGACTACGCCAGAAATCAGCTAAGACAATGAGTCTGAAATACTTTTTTGCTCTTGTCATATGTGCAACCACAGCAAATTCATGGTACTCACTGCTTTCCCAAACGTATAATTAAGTGCTTACATGTAGTGGCTACATAGTCACTGATGTACTCCTCAGGATCACTGGTCAAAAGAATTTCTACAAGCAACTACCAATATACTAGAAAGGGAGAGAATTCTTCAGGTTTTTACACGCTGAGTTAAAAAAAGTCTTCTTTCTTTCCTCTGTAAGCATAAAGATTAGCAAATTGAAAAGATCATCCTGACAGATAAAAACAATATTTTTACATTTATTTTTGATGTCTCCTTAATAGCATTTGATAGCCACAGTTTCCAAAATTTTGTTTCCACATACACCTCATGTGCAGTTTATTCTGTCGGGAATTCTGCAGTACTAGAAAATGAATGATTTCTTTGTACAGTCCTACAACCTGTTCCCAGTTATATCAAGTCAGAACAGGTTATCGAACCTGCTATGCTTTCATGCATATGCAAGGCTGTAGCTTTGTGCTCCTCCCCTCTTCGATTTTCACCTCTCACCAGTGATCCAGCATCTCTG